CGGTACCAATCTATTAAGCATTTAAAAAATCAAACTTACAGGTGTAGAAAAAAAATCTCTAGCAAAAGATGACCCCAAAAACTTTTGTTTTTTGCATAAAGTAGCTCCTATTTTATTGCTTACATGAATAAAGGAGCTAAAACAATCACATTCAGTATTTTCTTTGATTATTTTACTCCTGGATTAAAAAGTTCAAATGTTGGCAGATTGTTAGAAATTTCAGTCCTAGGATAGGGCTCCAATCGGTATATAGTAAATTATCTAAATATCACCTTCTAGCCTTCCCCCCTTGAATAATGATATCTCGACAAAAAATGTGAATTATTATATGATTGAATAATTCCCATCTCTCTGACTGGCTGAGATCCAACTATGTTAGAAAAATACTACGTTGTATTGACCTGCACGTGACGTTCCAGGTCAATACAAGGATTTATTTCCTTTACGTTGATCTAAAAATAGATCGATATATTCCAAATTGATACAAATTGATTTGGAAAGCTATTCAAACAACTATAACTTTTTTTTTTCATTTGATGAGAAGGGTGGTAAGAGGGGATGCAGGGACACTCCTCCAACACTTTTACTGAACAACAATTTTTTACTTTATGGCAGTCAGTTTTCCCTGATAATGCTCCTTCCTTTAAAAATCTATCCTAGAAAAAAGACTAACATAATTTTTTTTTCATGGCAACTAAAATTGACCAAAAAAAAAAAAAAAGAAAATAAAAATGATCTGTAAGGTTGATTAACATTTTAACTCTGCTTCTCTCTTAATTGTATTTGAATATGACTTAACTAAATGCAAACAAGTAATGGGTTTTATCATTCTATTAGTGAATCATATAATAAAATAATTATTGCTGTTTTTTTTCGGTCAATACAATGATTTAGTCATCTTCGAAGTACAATATTCACCTCGCCCTCCGGGCTCGGTGAAATATGTGTAATATTAGCCAGATGGCTAAATCATTGTATTGACCTCAAAACACAGCAATAATTGTATAATATTTGCTCCAAGGATCAGGTAACTAGCGATAAAGGACTCTATTGATTATGTAATGAAAATGCAGTGTTGAAACCACTATTGAAATAACGATCACTATTGAAATAATTATTTCACCTCTGCACCTGTATGTTAATCAAACAAGTTCAATGTAACGTAACCTGATAAGCAAGTCCTTCATTAGCCAGATTCGCCTATGGTATTTAGCTGAATATGCTTCTTCAAACAACAAAATTAAATATACGCTTAGAAATTTAGGGCCCACTCCAAATTAATTTACTGTTGATTCAACATAAACACCAAATCAAAGTAAAAATAACAATGGAATTTTGTAGACGAATATACATTTAATTGTATCTTCTCCGCTGTTTCTCATCTGACTTCATTTAAGCTAGTTTTGGTGTCAGGCTGGGACTCTATCAAATATATAGTAAAAATGGATAATTTCATTGATATTTCCTTCATTGAACTTTAAGTATTAAACAAGTTAAGTAACGGTGTGAAAGGGTGCTTCTTCTTAAATCCTGAATTTCATGTCTCTTAGTTCAAGAGTTTCGGTTTAAAGATTAGGGTTCTGTTTATTATCTAAAGAAATTGCATTAGTTTTTCAAAAGACATCTTTCCATATTATATCAAGTGCATGAACATGCATGCTATGTAAACAAAGTTAGACTAAGTATATACTAGTTAAAATGAGCAAGTATATACCTTTCAAAAAATCTTGAATTTATAAGTCCCTTGCCGTTAGGTTGGGGATGTTTAGAATCAATACTGAAAATGCATTCTTCGACATCTCGGCCTCTGGCATCTAGGAGGCCAACATATACGCAGATAAAATAAACAAGGATATTTTTGCCATATTTCACCTTTTCATTATCTGTTATTGTGCTAGGCAGGCTATAGGCATATTTTAAATTGTGGCCTTAAGCTGAGAAAAATTATTTTTCTTTTGCTATTGATCTATGACAAATTATCATTGAAAACAATGTAATCGTAAATTAATTTGAAAAAAGAGAATAATACATATTTTCAAATGCATAAATAAGAAGGGTTTTCGAGTTCTGAATGATCAGATATAGTTGTAAATAATTGACAAAATTACCTTTAAGTTATATTTGTGAATAAAATTATTCGATCAAAAGAGGTCAGTTTGTGAAAGCAAGAGGTGGGTTTCTAACAGATCTCAATAATAATGCTTTTAATGAAAGTGACAAACAGAGGGAGTAAAAGCAACTAAATGGATGTATAAATTATAAACGTAAAACTTCATTGAAAATCTTATTTTTGTGATTCCTGTACATCCTATTACTTTTGCTTTTAAGTAATAAGTTTCTTTATCATTTTTTAGATTTATTTGATACGCCCGTTATTTCTTTATGTGACAGGAATTTGTTTTACCCTCAAACTTAGGTACCACTCACGGCGCCAATGTAATCGGATTTCGTTACACAGTACCAATGCAATTAGAAAAAATTACACGACACCAGTGTAACGAAAATGATGGTATGAAAAATATCTCTTTCATTCTCAAATTAACTCCTTAAATGACAAACACTTTCTTTATCAATAAGAGTACTTTGCATTTTATAGCAAGCACAAGACGAAAGACCACCTTTAAACAATCGCTTAATGGTAGCTTAATGGTGACTTAATGGTGGCTTAAAGAAGTTAATTCCTTTAAGCCACCATTAAGCTGCAACTTACAGGTGCTTAATGTCCAAACTTCATTAAGCTACCATTAAGCCACCATTAAGCTGAGCTTAATGGTGACTTAATGGTCAACCCTCATTAAACTTTTACGCATCTTATATAAAATCTTTGAACTAACTTTTAGTTATTTTAATATCATGTACGCAAAATCTATTCCAACTCATAATTTTGTCTCGATCATAATTTCTACGAGTTTTTTGTCTACGAGTTTTTTGTCAACATGCATAAACTTGATCACTGGGAACAAAGTTAGCTAATAGCCACAGGGGCTTGCTCGAGGTGTCTAATTTTTTTTTAAATCATTTACAGTGATAATAAAACAAGACATCCTGTATCAGAACCGTATATTATTTTTTTTAAATAAATCATTATTACATGCGTTGTTTTTATTTTTAGTGTATTATGATTTTTAGAAATAAATAATCATTACACACCGTGAGCAAGTCCTTGTGAAGTATCTTAAATTTACAATACCAAAAATCAATTTGTTCTTAAAATTATCTATATTCATGAACACAAAATATATATTACTTTTTAGAAACAAAATGGTATTTTCATTTCATGTGTTAAAAGAAACATTCCGCTACAGAATTCACAGGAATATAACTATATAATCTCATGAAAAAAAATCTCTGTCCTTTTTTTTTGGGGGGGGGGGGGCTACTGTTATACAAATGTTTAGTTTTCAAATATTGACTTTTACCATGAAAAACTTTTTAATGTCTTTTACATCATGAATAATTCTAATTAATTCGTTATTTTTTTTTAATAATGCAGTGGTAAGTATCTGTCAAAACTAGTCGGTCTTCAATGATTGTTATTTCAAAATCGATTTTCAGAGGAACGGCCGATCAGACTTAACATGACATCCGACCAGATGTATACACATTGAGAAACGGGGTAAGATTAACAGATGATCAGTGTACAGTAAACCGACTGGTCAGACAATAGACCTTAATTAGGTGTCCCCCCCCGTCCCCGGTTAACTAACAGGAAACTATACATACACAACGTACACTGACAGATTTTAATGATCAATTATTTTCACAAAATTTAAATTTAACGCAAACATATATATAATAAATTAAAAATTATTCATCGTAAAAAGTCAATTATTTTGATACCCATTATGATACAAAAAGAATTGAAACTGAAGATGATATTCTAAAAAAAAGTTTTTGTAAACGTAATTAACCAGGTAACTCTTACGCGAGGATTGTCACTAAATTGTTGACACAGAAACCGTTAATTCCGCAGTATATTAAAAATAATAGTAGAATCTGTTTTTTCCTCTTTCTTTGATGATAGTTTTTTGTGTTCTATCTATAATTAATTTATTTTCAATCATGATTTAATGCTTACATTTCGAAAATTTTTCGAATAACAGAGCGAAGAACTCAATCACATTACATCAATCTAAAAGCCGAACTCAGTGTAGAAATATTAATGTGTTATAAGCCTTTCAAAAAGATCCACAAATAAAATTGTTTATATTTTGATTAATAAATCAATTCAAGACTTTTGGAAATGTTCAACAAAATACTAGTAAATACCTTTACAAGTCCAAACAAATTTTGAAAAAAAAATAAAGGTTAAATATTTAATATTTTCCTTATATTGTCAAGAGCGGCGATAGCCTAATGGTTAAGGCGTTCGCCTTAAAAAAAAAAAAAGAAAAAAAAAGAAAAGAAAAAAAAAGAAGAAAAAAAAAGGCGTTCGCCTTGCAACCCTTAGGTCATGGGATCGCGCCCCGACTGTGGCGTTTTTTTTTGAATTTTTGAATTTAGTTCTTTTTCATTATTTTTACCAAATCAAGATATGTGTGAACTCGATATTTATAATTTTGATAACAAATCACTATAAAAATAATTTTTCACCCATATAAACAATATTATCGACTGCGTAATGTGACTTAATGGTGGCTTAATGGTAGCTTAATGGAGTTTGGACATTAAGCACCTGTAAGTCTAGCTTAATGGTAGCTTAATGGTGACTTAACGGTGGTCTAAAAGTTACCATTAAGGACCTGTAAGCCACCATTAAGCTACCATTAAGCTACATTTAAGCACCCATTAAGGACTTTGAGTTGGGTTAATGGTAACTTAATGGTGGTGTAAATGTTACTTAAAGGTGCTTAATGGTGACTTAATGGTGACTTAAAGACAACCATTAAACCACCATTAAGGACCTATAAGCCACCATTAAACCGGACTTAAAGGGTGTGTTTCATCTTGTGAAGTTCTTATTAATCTATAAACCTGTACTAATGACCTACTCTACTACAGTCAAACTCGTTTAGTTCGAAAACGGATTTTGCGAATTTACGGAGATAGCGAATTTTTCTTGGACCCCTTACTATATAAATTTTACGTACGAAATCATTATACGGTTAAAGGAATTACGGATATAGGGAAGTAATTTCACAGGTCCCAGTGATTTTGTTATAACCGAGTTCTTCTGTAATGAGCCTCAATAAAAGAAAATGGTGCCTACCTAACAGATCCAGAACCCGTCCTACACTATGCTAAGTCCGAAGAGAAATGACCCACCACAGCAAGAAAAGTCTACTACGCCAAACCTAATCAGTTTACCAAAAATAAGAATAAAGGACTGGAAATTAACTCTAAGGGCCGGTACACATGGTAAAGCTTACCTTATAAGTCATGGAACTTACGTTGTAGCCTTACCGTGTGTTCACCCTTAATGCACGTTTTTTCGAGCCTTAGAAGTCTTACTTAGGAATAGAACACTGCTCTCTTTCTTAATAAAAGACTTAGCTGACATTAATTTTATTTCTTAACCAATGAAAACCATTCACCCAAAGTTCAATCTATTTTTATAAAACCATACACCTTGGTATATTGAAAGGAACACAAAGTATATTCGAATAAGATAATGAAAATATCCGCAAATGCTTCTGTGAACCTCTTCTTCTTTATTAAGAAATGTGAATGCAATGATCGGTAAAATTATTTCAAAGTCCTATAGCTGGTAATCTATTATTCTGTTCAATAATGTGCAATGCTTATGGCTAAAAAAAATGGAATTTATCTAAATTGCGTTTAAAATCTTGTAAGTCTTGCGTGTGGACAGGAGAGCCTTTCCTTCGTGCAAAACGTTTACAAGGTTTCGGACCTATAAGGCAAGCCTTACTATGTGTACCGGCCCTAAATTGGACGCGTAAATGAAGGGAAAAAGATTCCTACTTGAACGGGACTATGCATTTCTAAATCTTTGAATAATCAAGTTGTTATATTTCAATTAAAAGCAGGTTAATACTGGAGAGAAAAGATGTAACTAATCGTCATGAAAGAAACAACGAGCCTTCGTGAAAGCAACGTCATTAAAGATAACAAACACTTTAAAGATTTCAAGTGCAATTCAACAATTTCTCAAGAAAACGTTTTACTGCTGCAACTTCTAGATACATGAATACATAAAGTGTTTTATTTTTGTCCATTGATACACGTTCATTAGTTCTCAGAGAAGGTAATTCTGTTACAATACCAATTTCTTGACAAAGGGATGAATAATCTTGAGCCGAATCAAACATTTGGAAGGTCTTTGTTGTGATCCTGCTCCTTTTGTGTTGTTGTCTGCAGAACATCGTATGTATTCTGTTCAAGAGCATTTCGTCCTTGAATGTTTAAAGTGTGGAAATACATAGATGGATGGTTCACTCTAGAACTACAGAAAAAGAAATATACAAATGCATTAATTTAGTTTCTTCCTCATTTCGAAGCAGTTACTTCAAGAGCAGTAATCGTATTTTATTAATTTTGTTTAAATGTATTTTACAAACAATACGTTTTTTAATTTCATCATTAAAAAAGAAGTAGTAAAGACTTTAGTTACGTCATTATTTATTTGAGGAAAATACAGTCCATTATAAATGTAGGGACATTTCAAGGATAAAAGAAGCACTAGGCCCAAGCTGCAGGAAAGAATTCCATAATTTCTTAAATTATGTAAAGTCACCTGAGTAAAATCAGGTGAACTCAGGTAACCTATTGCTATCCCTTTTTGTCCGTAATTGTCCGTCGTTCGTCGTACGTCGGTCGTAAACTTTTGAACATTTTTAGCTTCTTCTCTAGAACCACTGAACCAATTTCAACCAAATTTGGTATATAGCATCTATGGATAAAGGGAAACATAAATTGTGAATTTTATGCCCCCCCCCCCGGGGGCTTGATGGGTGGGGCCAAAATCACTAAAATTATTGCAATCTTTAAAAATCTTCTTCTTTACTCCTGGACATCAAGCACTCAAACTGTTGGTATGAATGTAATAAACATTAAGTCCTCTACCAAAATTGTGAAATTCATGGACCTAGGGTCAGGGGTTCTAGTGCTTGGGCTGGGCTATATAGATTACATAGTGAAAATGTACGATGGCAGATATGAGCCGTCAAATTACAAGTAAGAGTAGTTCTATTATGTACGCAGAATTATTTGACTTAAGTAGTATTACCTGTATCATTTTGTACATGTAAAATTTGTCAATGGCAATGTAGTTGTAATAGTAATTTGTACATGTACAAATCTTGAGACAAAATACACTTTAGACTACTTAACATTCCTTAGATTTATTGTCAAGATTATCTGTAAAGTTAGAAGGGACAAAATCAAAACCATGTGTTAACTGATTTTTCTTCTATTTCCTCCTGTTAATTTCCCACATCTTAGTTGTTTAATAGATGCTGCGTACCTTACTTCAATTGATCAAAAAATGCAGCAATATTGGGTTTTTTTTTGTCATTGATCTCAAAATTTAATTTTTTTTATCATAGAATATTTTGCTTCTATATAGATTCCTCTGGGGTTTTTTTTATTATTTAACTCTTATGATAACAAAATCTTAACCTCCTTCGTAGTCCCAAAATACTGGTTAGAGATTCCAGAAACAATGGAGCTGCATCTTTATTATTTTTCCAGCCAGATGAAAATCTGTCGCTTGATCGAACTATCGAGGAAACATTCCGTAGATTTCTGTAAGTTGGGACGGAGACTAAACAAAAACACGTGTGTTTTTGTTTCTGGGTTTTTTACGAATGAGGGTGGGTAAATACATGTTAATGCTGTATTCCAATTCTTTTATTTATATCTAAGACAGCAGGATTAATTTTAATTTTACAAACATTGTCAGTGATCTTATCTGTCGGGGTTTTCCATCATTGAAGGCATATTTTGTGAGAGTCTTTTTTTTTCAGTTTCCATCGTAAATCAGCTGCATCTTTATGTAAAACGTTATGTATTTCCTAATTCTTTTTTTTACTCGTTCCAATGAAAAAAATATAATGAAGAAAAAAGTAATATGGAAACAGGGCAAAACATAGAATGAAAAATAAACACATTTTTTACGCAGATGATCAAGCGACAGATTTTCATCAGGCGGGTAAAGAAACAATAAAGATGCAGCTCCATTGTTTCTGGAATCTTTAACCAGTTTTTTGGGGGCCTACAAATGAAGGTTTTTATGTTGTGAAAGTTAGAATTTACAAAACCAAGAGGAAACTAAAAGACACTGACAAAATATTGTATGATGAAAAAATTTAAGTTTTGAGATCAGAGACCAAAAAAAAAATTGTTGCATTTTGTGATCAATTGATATAAGGTAAACAATATTAATTAGGCGCGGATCCAGGAATTGAAGTTAGAGGGGGCACCAAAAATAGGAGGGGGTCTGTGGGCCGGCTTGAGGCCCCCAGTGAGTCAAGGGCAAAGCCTTGTTGGGGGCCCAGGGGGCGAAGCCCCCTGAAGCTCCTGGATTCTAGAGATTTTGTAGGGTAAAAAAGAGGTCTACCAAGTAGACATATTTACATTTTCTAGACAAAACTGTGATTTACGCTTTGATAATTTTAGGGGAGGGGGGGGGGGGCACGCCGGGTGCGCCCCCCTTTAATCCGCCACATTAACAATCAAAAATGCGAGGAACAGGAGAAAATAGAAGAAAAATCAGATAACACATGGTTTTGATTTTGTCCCTTCTAAGTTTTCAGATAATCTTGCCAATAAATCTAAGGAATGTTAAGTAGTCTAAAGTGTATGTTGTCTCAAGATTTGTACATGTACAAATTACTATTACAACTACATGCGTTTTGCCATTGACAAAGTGTACATGTACAAAATGATACAGGTAATACTACTAAAGTCAAATAATTCTGCGTACATAATATGTAATTTGACGGCTCATATCGGCCATCGTAGAAAATGCATTATTTCTTTGAAAATCTTCTTTGCTTCTTGATATTAAATAAACTAATTAAGTACATAGTTATGATGGGCAAGAGTGCTTCTTCCAAATTTGTGAATTTTATGGCCCCATAGTGAGGGGTTCTGGTGTTAGGGCGGGGTTCTATTGATTACATAGTGAAAATAACTTTAATTATTTGAAATTCTTCTTCTCTGTTCCTGGGTATCAAATAAACTAACAAAGTACATAGTTATGATGAGCAAGAGTACTTCTTTCAAAATTGTGAATTTTATGGCCCCAGGTTTAGGGGTTCTGGTGTTAGGGCGGGGTTCTATTAATTATATAGTGAAAATACATTAATATTCTTCGAAAATCTTCTTCTCTGCTTCTGGGTATTAAATAAACTAGCTAAGTACATAGTTATGAGGAGCAAGAGTGCCTCATTTAAAACTGTGAAATTTATGGCTCCAGGGTAAGGGGTTCTGGTTTTAGGGCAGGGCTCTATTGAATATATTGTGAAAATGCATCAATTCTTTGAAAATCTTCTTCTCTGCTCCTGGGTATTAAATAAACTAACTTAGTATATAGTTATAATGAGCAACCATGGGCACTCAACCAAATTTGTGAATTTCATGACCCCTGTGTCAGGGTGTTTGCCATTTGGTGTAGGGGAGGGGGCTCTTTTGATTACATCTTTATAGTAAAATTACATTAGATTCCTTGAAAATCTTTTCCTTTGCTCCAGAGTATTATGCCAATGATCTAAGTATATATATTTATGATGAAGAAAGGTGCAACTAGCAAAATGGTTAATTTCATGCCCCCTGGGTCAGGGGTATCGGAGGGAGGGGGGTTACATAGTATGAAAATAAATTAATGCTTTCCAATCTGCTCTTTGGTTTTAATCAACGATTTCTGATGAAATAAAACTTATGATAAAATTTTCTAAATTTTGAATTAAGTGACCCCAGGGTCAGTGATTTCTTTGGGCTGCGATGCAGAACCAAATTCAATTGTTCGAAAGTTGTTACATGATACTTGGGTGACCTATAAGGCCCGTGGGCCTCTTGTTTTATTATAGATCCTGTTGGGAAGGTCAGAAGTTCGAATCTCTGCAGCGACTGACCTAAGTCGATAAAAATGGGTATCAACTGTTCCTTCGGCATGCGCTCGGCACCTTGAAATGAAAGTTGATGATCCTTAGGATGAGACCTTAAAAACCGGGGCCCCATGTTACGGTAGACATTAGCACAATTAAGATCCCTCACTTCTCAACAGCCTTAAGTGGTGAGTTAAGGTCAGAATTTGACGCTCTTTACCATCACATGGTCAAGTCCCTATATGAGTGAAATATTCATGAAATATTCATAAAACAACATACAATCAATCAATCATTAGATCATCAAATTCGCAAATAGCAGTTTGTTTTTCTGGATTTCAAAACCCTTCAAATGTCGGCAGGTTCAGGGAGGTACACAACCTATAGGCATCATCTAAATGACTCCAATAGGTTGCAGAGAAAGAAAATTAGGGCTGCTGGAGAGAAAAATGAAAAAAGTCACACTTCTTAATGGGGTGATGCCTGTGTCGGGAACATTAGACTTATGGATCGATCCTGATGCTCCTCAAAACATGTTTTCTTAATGGTGTTTATTTATTGAAACAGAGATTCTTATTATTTCATTCTTTTTTCAAACAACAGATTTAAGATCGCTGTCGTCTAAAAGATATCGATGATTTCATCTTTTGTTCATATGATGCTACGATTGAAAATAAAATTGTGACTTTAAATTAACATTGGCTGCTTCATAAAACATCCCTGGTTTGTCTTTTTAAAAGGTGCAATAACACAGATTTGAAGTTAATTTGTTTTTCTGTATAATATAACATACATTTTAATAGCATTTCAGACTAAAATTTATTTAAATCTTATTTCATCTTAAATTTTTTAAAACTTTTAAAAAAAAATTTTGGATGGGTTTGATTGACACATCCTTACACTATCACAAATTTTACTTTTATTCTTAATACTTAGGGAAAGTGGCAATCTTGTGTATAAATGAAAAATATTAAAACTATCATCCAGAAAATTCAGAGTAGAAATGTTCGATAGCAAAACAGACACACAGTTTATTGTCAGCTAGTGCCCTATTTACAGAATATGTGTACTAAGTTTCACGGATGTGATCCATTTGCTAAAGTCTGTACACAACAATTAGCGCGGAATGACGATACTTGTGAAGGGATTTTGCTTTCTAACATTTCTACTCTGAATATAATTATTTTTTATAATTTTAAACTATTTAATTTCACGGATAGAAATTTTGGGATTTAGAAACTTAATTACTAGCATGGATCTGCCGTGTCAGATGTTTTACATAAACTAATTTAAGGATGTAAATTAAATATTTTTTAACAACAAGCGATTTATAAACAATTCTATATAAAGACTAAAACATTGTAAATGGTGCATTTTAGAATGACTGGATTTTTTTAAAAGTCGTCAAACGCAGAAAAATTAATGTCAACATAAAATAAACATTTTTGCCATATTGCACCACCATTATTGTCAATTGCAATTTCATTAGAACCAGGCACAACAGGTGTCATATAAAACGGAAACTCATACAAAATAGGGAAAGTACTTTTTAATTTTTCTGATTTTTTTAACGTGTCCTTCTTTTAATTCGATTGTTTCGGAAATGGATGAAATTGTAAATACTTGGGAAAAAAATTGAAGGAAGAATTTAAATCTATATATTAATATTTATTTGATTCTTTTATAAGAATACATTTTCCACTCGATTTCAAAATGTCAGTACAAAAAATAAAATAGCCCCAAAAATAAGCAAATTTATCTGAATAATTTGAAATAATGTTCAACAATATTTTTGAATGAAATAAGCATAAATTTATACATATGTTAATGCTTTGAAAATTCTTAAAGTTTAAAACACCAATAGAACAAACATATGCATCTTCTTTATTGATTAACTTAATTTCATATAAGATTTACCATTTCTTCAAGATGAAGGCTCCAAGAGACATTCCGACAACAATCAGTCCGACCGCTACCAGAATTAGCCACCAAGGTTTTATAGTTTTTATTGTTTGTTCTCTAGTAAAGGAATGTATGTTTTTAGCTAAAAGAAAAAAAATTTAGAAAAAATTAAAAAGCATAATAGGAAAACGTCATTTTCAGTAGGCTTTAACGGTGCAGAATACTGAAAATATAACATGCAGTACAGAGACAAGCGATGGTTGTGATTTTTTTTTTAGAAATAAAGATATTCATGTTTATAAGAAGCACGGGTCATTTTGGTCATTTAACCGAAATGACATGTTTTTGGCTTTTATATTTACATTTACATTGTATAAAATTATATGATCAATGGGAATGTTGATTTTTTTCCAGATATATCTGAACAAAATAATTGTTGATCTTTCTACATGGGTGTTTATTGAAGGGAGGGGTGATATATAGATAAATTTTATTCCCTTAAAAATCCTGAATATTATACTTTTAAAAAATGGAAAATAAATTTGAATATCTTCTGAATATTTTCATTTCAGTATAACAATAAAAAAAAATGCATACTGCCTTGTTATAAATTCCTTTCCAACTCCTCTCAAAGTTTTATTCTAAGCCTTCATATTCAATATATACATGTATATATTGTATAGTATGTGATCAATTGGGTTGTTTTGGAATGTCTTTACTTCCTCCTCAAGACAGTAGCCCTTGAAATTATCTTATTTTTATGGGTCGATGTAAATGAAAGTTGGAATTAATTAAAGGCATTAGGCCGATTCGAATAAGTGATATCACCCTTTAAATTGGAAATATCAGCATTTCGAATAAGTGATATAAGCTATTCAAATAGGTGAAATTACCTATTTAATTTGCATAGGTGATAACACGTAAATTCGATTAGACGATATCAATTTTTTTAAGTAAGTGCAATCAGCTATTTTTTAAATAGGTGATATCAACTTTTTTTTTAATAGGTGATATGAACTATTCTTTAAATAGGTGATATCAATTTTTTTTCAAAATAGGTGATAACACTCAATCGAATGGGTGATATCACTCATTCAACTAAAAAGATGATATCATGAACTATTTTAAATAGGTGATATCACTAATTCGAATAAGCGATATCACTCATTCAAATTATTTATGAAATAACAACTGCCCCTAAGGCTAGAGAGAAAGTCTCGCTTACTTTCAATATCGTCTTATAATCTGTTCATCATATTGAAATATCTCGTGCATCAGATGACATAATTTTGTCAGTTTATTCTCTATAAATATGAATAACTAAGAGCAGGGGCTCGTAACATAAAGCTTGCTAAGTTTTTGACTTAAGTAGGGTCATAAGTACGTTTTAGGCACAATCTTAGGACCAGTCTAAGTACTACTTAAGTATGTCTTAAACCGTAACATAAAGCGAACTTAGGAAGGTCTTAGCTAAGTCAAACTTATGTCCAAAATATTTCTTATGAATTACCCTATATTTTTTTCATTTTATTCAGATATATTGCTACAAAATGATTCGGTTAATTAAATATGTATAAAAGTTAACGTCCTTACCTATCGTTTTAGTTATGTAAGATTAGATTTTGTATTAAAGATATAATTTTGTTATAAAATACACTGCATATTTGATTAAGAAAAAATACTGAGCGGTCACAAAGTGGATGGTGATTTGTGGTTCATTGTAAATGTATGACTATTGTTTATCCCCCGAAGCTGCGATGTTTTCAGTTACCGTTTATTGTTCTTTTGTTCTGACAAATGTTCACTTACTTTGTTATTCTCGTAGACATGACAAGGTAACCGAACGTCTGTCTACTTGAAATTAAAACTTTAAAAAATAACATTTTGAATCCCCCCTCCTCGATGTCTCAGTCCATGTCAGCAAGCAAACACTGCAGAAGTTATAATTATTTACAATTTCATCAAGAGTTGAAATTCTTTCAGGAGATCTTTTTTTTCATTTATCAACAACTCCCCTCTCTCTCTCTCTCTCTCTCCAGGGGGTCGTAACATAAAGCATGCTAAGTTTTTGACTTAAGTACGGTCTTAAGTGCGCGTTAAGCACATTTTTAGGACCTACATCAGTAGTACTTAAGTATATCTTATACCGTAACATAAAGCGAACTAAGCAAGATCTTAGCTAAGTCATACTTATACTGAATTAAAATATTACACAGTGTGAAAGTTCATAATGTAGCGTTGGCTATTACATGTAAGTGTGATATTTACTTACAAACTGAATATTCTTCAATTCTTTAATCACGTCTATCTATTGTCACAATTGTCCTAAGGGACTTTTAGTCTTTAAAAATTCCGTCACGTTCTTATTCACTGGGATTTGCTTCTCGTTCACGGAAGGTAATGGCTCGAAAACCAAATTTTTCCAGTTTGGAAATCGAAACTTTGATAGAAAAGTTTCAGAATCATAAAGAAATTCTTAATTCTTCGTTTAATATACTAGGTGATCTTATAGCAACATGTGTACCATTAATGCAACCCAGAACATTGGGAAATTTAGACATTTGAATTAAGTATTTTTGCATGACATGGATTTTCTCTGTATTATCGGAAGGAAACTTGATAAAAAAAATCACTAGCATATTTACTTATGCTACAAGACACATCATCAACTATACGAGAAACGATCATTCTTGACATCCCCTGGGAATCTCCCAAAAAGCTGAAAAAACTACCTGTAGCATAAAATCTCAAGGCAGTTAATAGACATTTCCAGTATAGCGTGTTCGAACTCGGACTCGGACTTTGCCTGCTTATAACAAAGAGGGGTCGTATGAAAGGTTGAAAAGTCTGAGACGTATCGTTTGTCAAATTGTAGTTTATAGTGGAAATATTCTAAACATTTTTAAATTTCTTACCCTCCTTAAATTAGAGAGGGGTAGTATATGCTTACTTATGACCGTTAATGAGATTATCTATTCAACATGAAAATTGTCTTTTGACACGCACCCCGTAAGGATACCTTTATCCGTGTACGAGTACGAGCTCGAGACCGCGAACTCTGGAAATGTCTAATACTTGTGGTGAAACACTTATCGCTTCATTTCTCTTTGTTGGTCTTTCCAAATCACCTTTTACCAATTCACACACAGTTTAAATTAGATTTCTGTTTAAACGATACCACTCTATCAAATATTGATCGTCATAATCATGTAGATTTTCTCTTGTCTTAAAAGTTCTTTTTTTTCCTCCCACTTTGTAGAAATATATATATGCCGATGCCATTCCTGTAATAATTCGAACTTAACTTCTAATATCTATTGTGAATAGTGTTTAATTGTGTCTTTATTCATAGACCTCTGAATACCACTCTCAGTTTCTCTGTGATTACCGGCCGAGTTAAGCTGTCATTAATTTTCAATCATAATTAATGTACACATATGTATATCCTATAGTATTATTTTGTTTAATATACATGTTTAAATTGCTCTATACATGTACACAAGACATAATTGCTAATTATTGACTTGAAGAGGTATTAAAGTATCTTGTCAATTAATAACAAATGAAATACTAACACTATTCATCGTTAAATTTTAGCAGTTTTACGTAGAATGTGTTCAGATTCTGTATAACACGCACTTAAGTCACCTATGTTGATCGCCTAAGTTTTGCTAAGATTTGTATTTCTTAGCATTGTTTATGATACGGACTTAAGACAAATAATGTATTTATGTCTTACTTAAGTATGGTCTTAGACTTAAGTAGTTTTTATGTTACGACCCCCAGGACTTCACCTTGCATAATCGATTATCTCCTAGACCCTCGCCGGACTTTATGCATGAAGAAAACAAAGATAAATAATTTGTTTTCACACTTCCATGTAACGGTTGATTGGTGTTGCATAAAAATAGACTATATTATTTTTTTTAGAAAAATATATTTACATATGTCTTTCCTATAGAGCCGCGGCTCTAGAATTATGTTAGCACTGTAAGTCAAACATAACATCGTACCTAAGTCATTTAATTGATGTGAATTAATTGCTTAAAATTTTCAACATGTTCAAGGAACTCTTAAAAGTATTTTACTATTCTGAATTTAGTTTCTTCTTTTTTGTAATTCGGTAATTCCATCAAGAAAACTGACAAATAATCACGTCAAAAATGTAAGTAGTTCGACTATATCGACCAAAATTTTCTCTGCTTTTTCAGAACACGCGTTTTTATTTTTATCAATATGTACGACCACACCATTTGTGTAGCGAATTAGCGATTTTTTTTATAAAGTGTGTGCATGTATTCTTTTGTAATTATAATGAATAGTGATTCAGTTGAGATTTTGATCGCGAAAATACCGCAAAATTTTAGTGCTTTGCGTAAACACTGCAACACAGTAAAATTTTAAACGATGGAGAACCCTGTAAGAGAATTTAGAAAGTATCAATAAATATTGCAAAACTAATGTAGCAAGTTCAATTTGCATAACTTTTAAATAACCTTTGGTGATATCATCCATTCAAATCAAGTAGGTATTCGAATCGGTGATATCACCTACTTGATTTTAATTGGTGATATCATGAATTAGAATAGGTGATATTAAGTATTTAAAAAGGTGATATCAACACTTTTTTTTGAAAAAGTGATATTACTTAATCGAATAGGGGATATCACGTATTTAATTCAAAATGGTGATATCAAAAATTATTTATTTATTCGAATTATGTGATATCACGGAACTAGAGATGGTAACATCACCACATTTTCATAAAAGTTGTAACTTACCACAAGTACCATACCCTAAAAATTTCAGACCCTGGGTTAGGGGACTTTAAAATCCCAAAGCCCGATGTTTATTTATATAGTATTATAAAGAAGATCTAAAACTGGAGGGCTATATCTCGAAAACTAAGATGGTACCATCCCCTTTTTCATAAAAGAGATAACTAGACCCAATACATACCCTTAAAATTACAGAGCACGCGGATGTTGACTTCGATGTCCCTAAGCCCGATGTCTATTCATATAGTATTATATAATACGCCTATTAACTGGAGAGCTATATCGCAGAAACAAAAGTTGGTGCCATCATCATATTTTTTATATATAAAAGTGGTTATTCACCACTAGTACCATGCCCTCAAACCGAAGACCCCGGAGTAGGGGTCTTTGATGTCTCCGAACCTGATGATTATTCATATAGTATTATATAGGCCTAAAAACTGGAGGGCATATCTCGGAAACTGCGATGGGGTATCAAAGAGTTCGTGGACTAGCGCCATAAAATAAAAATCGCTTAAGGTACATCAATGAATTTCAAAATATCTAGTTAGCACCAAATTTCCATCTGTAGAATTCTATAGAATAAACCACAAATCAATTATTTTTATTTTCTAATATATTGGTAATGTTTTGTAAGCAGTGGTATGTCAAGGCGATGCAACCTCGTACACGACTTTTTTTTTCGATCTGAGCGTAACTGAGAAAAACTATTTTGATATGAACATTTAACATTCAAAAATTCTGGTAATTCAGGTACATTCATGTATGTGTTGGGACACTATTATTCCATAAAATATGAAAAAATTTACCTCATTCTGGAAGTTCTATGACTTTTTATCGTAAATTTTCATGGAGTATCCAAATAAATAAGGCCTTATTAAGGAACTTGGAGCGGACCTATATAGGGCATGCCTGATGTCCAATCCAATTATATATTTAACATGATAAAATATTGATTAAATTAATTAAATAAGACCTTAAAATGATGTCAAATAGGGGGAGGGGTTTCCTTTTCCAATATTCTATAAAGTTGTGCCCATAGAAAAACTTGTATACACCTAGGAAATGTTTAAACTGGCTACGGATAAATAATTTGTATCCAAAGAACTTGTTCTTAATACCAAAATAGGTTCAGAAAGACAAGTAATGCACAGCTAATGTCCATTTGTAGGGAAGGTGTAAAAAAAAAATCAATCATGTCAAAAAATGAGGTTGACCATGTATTGAAGATAGTAAACTCCAAAAAGCAAAATATGCTGGAACAATCAAGCGACGATCTCTCCCAATGTATAAACCTATTTGCAATATTATACGCATTGAAAGCTGCTGTTCATGACATTGTAAAGCAAGTGAATTCCTTGCCCACATGCTCAGCTCCAGGGAATCTCATCAAAATAAGTGTACACACAAAAGTTTTTTATTGAATTTGAATATTAAGTTTATAAACGTTTGTCTTCGAGATCTCGTTGCACAGGTTACTGTGCTCCCTTTGACTAATTTACCTGAGTAAGTTGTCTGGCAAGCTCCTGTGACTTTATCGCATGATAAGCACTTGCACTTTTCGAGGCAAAGTCTTCCATAAAACCCATCAGGACATGTGTTTTCACAGTTTTTACCAAACGTTCCAAAGAAACATACTTCCATGCGAATATAAATGGAAATGTCAAAATTATAATAAGTAAATGAGAATTCAGTCTTCCAAATAATAAAGTCAAAATGTGAAGTAAATCTAGACTGATAACTTACTTGTAATAGTTTCTGTCAAAAACAGAAAGTATGAAAACTTGTTTTGCTTTAAATCTTCAAAATTTCATTATGATTTCAAACGCCCTTTACCTTCACACTCTTGTCCCTTCCTCCTGAAATTACTGCAGCATGTTAATGGTTCTCTAGTATACATAAAGAACAAAAAGAAAATCTTGTTGTTTTCACATCATACTCCCAATGCGCATCACTAATATTAATGAAGTGATTTACTTACAAGTTACACACTCCAGTGTAATTCAAAAGTTGGGTGTTCGATGATTTAATCAGAATGTACAGCACACATATTAACTGTAATCCGGAATACATTTTGTGTTTTGATTTTTTATATTCCAACCCGCATGTATCTTCATGTATGATATGAAGATGTTTACCGCAAGAAGGGTATTTTAGTTTATTTTTCTGTTATATATTGTTCAGGAAGTCCTTGGAAAAGATAAGATTTTCCGCGTTATACACAATATAAAATAAATACCACATCAATTCAAAGGGTTAATGGCGGGTGTGACCGGTCAACAGGAAATGCTTAATCCTCAAAGGCACCTGATCCCATTACTGGAATTTTCAGGTATAGTTGTTTTATGACCTCTTGAGATATTTTTTTTGTTTTGGATTTTTCGATATCAATTACTGGTTGTTATCTTAGCCTAGAATTTAACAGAAAAAAAATCAATGAAATGTTTAAGTAAATAAAGTTATTATCAGTATATTACCTATAGAAAACAGTATACGGTGACCTCACCTGGTCTCGATACTTTATTTAAAAATGTAACTGATTGATTTTTTTTTCTGAGTCGAGGCAATAAATTGAAGACTTTTAAAGAAACCTAGTACGTTATTTTTCACCTGAAACAGTTTCCAAAATTGGTTCCTTTTTTCATGTATCTCAGAGAGCTGTTTCGTACCAAACCTGGCATCAATACAAAGAAGGCAATTAATTTCATAGTTTCTACTCTTTTAGAATTGAAATTCGGCATATACAGAGAAATATTACCACCTTTATCAAGAGTATGGTGACATAGTTCTGTATTCAAATACCAGTACTTGTGTTGCATATATGATAAGATTTAATTTTCACTGTAAGTCAAGTTCAAGTCTTTATTAAAGTTGTGACATTGAATTAAATAAAAACACACGCAGAAATCGGATTACAAATGATTTGTAAAATCTTTTTTCTTCTTCTAGACTTCAGAAAAATACAAAGGTTGATCAAAAAGTTCGCGAACTAATTAAATAACTTCCAATAAAAAATGATATATGGTTTCAGTGTTAAAAAAAGTTCAAAATAGTCCTCTCCAATTTTAATGCGCATCTGCAACCATTCTGCCCATGCGCGGATCACGTGATATAGGCGGTCACGTGACATGCTCTTTAAATATAGAGATAGTTCGCGAAATTTTTGATCACCCTCGTACAATAAAAAGTACTTTAGAGAAGGTCTATAATTGTAAATCGGTAAGTTGACTTCTGAAATAGCTGCAGAGAAAAGGAAAAATGGAATCCTCAGTGACTGTCGATGGAGGGCGAAAATTCTTCTATGAAATCATCAATTTCAAAGTAATCTTGTAGTGTGCTACTGGTACTAGATTTTTGTTCGTTAATAGACTGCTCTCTCTTTCTATCTTTCCTCAAAACACTATACGCCTCTTGTTCCAAATTATTTCTGTCATTAGAGATCTCAGAATGAAAGTATACAGCTGGCTGGTGTACTTTAGTACTGTAAATAAAAACAATGCACAAAAGTTTTTTACTATAGTTACAAGTTTTTGAATGACCCCTGTTTTGCAAATATGTTTTCGTCATTTATAGTATTCATTCTTTTATGATTTGAATTTTATCGACTTTATGTTGCCTGCCCTGTGCAAAAGACGAGCTAGCTCAGTCTCCTTGGCAATGTTAGACAAACTAAGGAACCTACATGATGTAACTAATATCATATCTATACATCTCAGTCATTTTTTTATTAATTATTTTTAGAATAAAAAAAAATATATAGACATTTCGTAAAGAATCTACGATTATTTTACAACTAAATAAATGGATAAGAAATACAATTTGCTGGAAAAATATATGTATTAACGAGGCCAGCTCTACTTGATCTGCGCATACGTTTTAACGCAGCGTCGACTCAGGCACTTCACAATACCCTTGACTGCCGTCACATTTGAACATAATAACGTCGCAATTAAAATGACGTCAAATTGCGCTAAACTGTTTCGCTGATCTTTCTTACCTGGCAGCTCTATAGAATATGCAGTGAAAGCTGGCATTTCTATTTTTTTTTTTAAATATTTAGATTAATTAACAACTTTGGGACCTAAATAATTTTGAGGGATCAATTTTTTGGTACAGATTTATTAATTTTATCCTGTTTTATTTCAATTTGTGAGTTTAAAAAAACAAACGCTGCAACTAAAAGTAAATGATTTTAGTCTTTCTCTTTAAACATGTTTAAGTGTTAATACACACTCTTTTTATTGCGGACTTAAATATGCATGGATTATCTTCAGTTTTAAAAAATAAAATAAGTCTATAAATCATTTAAATTGAACCCCCGAAATATTTAATTTTTCTATATATTACATAATATTAGTAAACATCGCAATGTTGCCGCCTTTACCCCCCCCCCCCCCCCCTCCACACACACACACACACCTTCTATCCCTATTTTCCACGTAAAACAACGTCGCGTGTTAAGAGAAAAATAAAGCATGGCGAGAAAATAATTTAAGAATTATTTATTTTTTAGAAACTAATACAGTATTGCAATCGTTTGTTGGTGTTATGTAAACCCATTGTGACCTATCAAATACGTAATTGGATAGAATAAATCTAAATTTTGTGTTTTGACATGCCCTCTTTTCATTGCAATAAAGGCTACCGCCAATTTTCTTTTCATTTTTTATAAGAGGAATGAAAATTGCATGATATATGTGAAAAAACAAAGAATTTCATCTTGTTTTTTTTTTTAATTTGTAAATTTCTTTGTTTTTTGAGGAGTTTTAGTATGTAATTGTGTATAAAAACGCGAAAAATGGTCCATATCTTGACAGTGCCCCCATTTCACTACAATAAAGGCAAGGTAACAAAATTTCATCCTAATTTTTCTAAGCATAAAACATACAAGTATATTTCCAAGAATTAAAAAATTTTATCATTCCGTTTTCGTAACTTTCAACTAGATCGGGCCTCGTTAAGATAAAGTTTACAGATAATGTCAATATTTAACGAAGTAGTTACATTATAGTTAGCATACCATTTCTTCGAGCAGATGTATCCAAATGCTATTCCAAGCAAAATGAATCCAAAAGCTACGAAAATTATCCACCATTCTAAACCATTTCCTTTTACTGTTTTCGGATTTGCATTTGTGACTAAAAAACATACGAAGAATTAATTGCTTAAATATGCCTTTGAACATTGTGATCGATTGTTTGAGACGTTTTATATATCTCATAAACCTGGGGAAAATTATCAAAGATATAATAAATTTAATATCATCATTGTGAAAATGCCATTTAATAAATTAATTCAAAAAAAGAAAACATGTACACCTATAATCTTTCCTTTATTTAAGTTTTCTGAAATAAGTGAAATATATTTTGTTTATCAAATGTATCAAAAATTAATATCTTGAAGGTGGAAAGAAAAAAATACATAGGAAATAATGAAAATTGTTGTTAAATAAATACAATAATGAAGTGATGAATCACTTTTATTATCAGTATTTGTTTTAATTTTCACTTTTTGTATTGTAACAGGCAAAAATTGATCATTTTCATTATTTCTAAATTACTGGTATTACATATTTAATAAAGTAAAATGTATTTTAGGGTTTTCCTGCAGTTAACTAGTTTTAGAGATTTTCTTAACAGACCTTTGAAGAGCATCTCTTAGACATACCCGAGATATTATCTTCTTTTATATTTGACACAGTACGTGTAGTTATATCATAACTGTGATCTTTTATACTTCCTCTACGTGTGACTGTCCAAAAAGGTTCGTCTGATATATTTTTCTTATGAACATATGTAGAAGATATGCCTTCATTACTTTCCAACTTTTTTACACCAGTAAGCCGAAATGAACTCATTTTCGAGCTAGGGTCGGACACTGATCCCATATTATCTTTAAAATCTCTTGTAGAGAAGACTTGGAAGCCCTCAATATCACTGGCTAAACATAAATGGTTTTATTTAAATAATTAAAATGCAATGTTTATATGAAATATGCAACTAAAAAAATAGTACACTTATTTAATAAATTTCAAATTTTATTAAAGCGCTATGATATCAGCTCTTTTTTACATGTATTTTTGGCGCATCCTGTTACTTTGTTGCATGCTTCACACTGACAAATCATAATGCAAAACCTTCCATAGCGACCATAAGGACAGTCTTGTTGGCAATTTTCACCGTATGTCCCAGGCCAACATTCTTTAAAAAATATATTACATTATTATCTATAATGATGGAATCTGTATATTATGGTCGATAATATGTGGTATTTTTAAAAAGAGATGACAGTGATCAAATGTAGGACTATTTGAAAACCAGGTAAAGAATATGTCTGACAGAACAAAATTTCGTTTTATATTGATACATAAAGCACAAAATAGTCATTGTTTTCATCTTGTTTATAAATCGAATATGCAGACAAATGAGAGATCAAGAAAGCGAAGAGACATGAAGCTCAGAAGTCCATTGGAAATGTTCACATTTTTATCAAAGCAAGTACAGACCTACAAACACATCAGAGATGGAATTAGCTGCCAAGCTGAATAAGGGTGTTGCTAAAACGCTGAACGGAAAACGGATGGAAAGCGGAACGGAACGGAAAACGGAATATATTATGTTAGATTAAATCACTTAGAATCATTTCGTAAGTTCTATGGTCGATACAATGACCTTGTCTGCAAATACAATTTATCATTGAGTCAAATGCTGACTGACGTTTTTCATATTAATTGGAAGTCCATTATTTACACCCTGAATTAACGACGGATTTTTTTTTTATTATTCCCCGATCATGACAAGGAGCACACGGCGGGTGTAACCGGTCGGCAGGGGATGCTCACTCCTCCATGGAACCTGATCCCACCTCTGATATTTTGAAGGTCCATGTTTGCTCTGCTCCTATTTTGTATTTTTTTTATGGACTTCTGATATTGAATACTGTTAGTTATCTCCATATCTTTCATTCACGAAAATTGCTCACAAAGCAGTGACATGGAATTGAATTTGAATGGTTGAGTGTGTGTGTGTGGGGGGGGGGGGGGGGGTAAACTTGATATCTGAAAAGAATTTGCCCAACGAAAAAAAAACCATTAATATATCATTCGGGAGGGGGAATCAGTTCCTACTCCGATGTCTTTCAATCGTTTTGTACAGTTACTTACTACTTTAATTAACAAAATGTGGAGATTTTCAATAAACATTTCTATAGAAAAAAGGTTACGTCTGGAATAAGGGGGAGGGGGATTTCATATAGAGACAAGTCATGTTTAAAGAGAACGAAAATGTTAAAAAACACAAAAATATTAAAAAACATTCCTAAGATTACGATTAGAGCAGACCTTTCCTACAAGCTCGGCTAAACACCTCTAACATGTCAAGTTCATTTGCTGTTTGAATTTTATACAAAATAGAATTGCTTCCTATATACATGTGATCGAAGCATCTTTACATTAAAGGAAGTTATATAGTTTGCATGTGGTACATGTGAGTGTGTGTAAGGGGGGCGGGGGGTGGATATGAATGGTGAAACATTGGAGTTTATTTTTCCGCTCTTTGGAAAGGTCTGAGAAGTTGCAAATTGTCCGCCCTTCCCCTTTTGACATTAGCTTCAGACCTTTTTTTTACTAATAAAATTTTTATTAAAACCAAACAGTAGTAAGTTTGTGTCAAAAAAAGTACTGAAAGATGTTGGACCTAGCACATACCACCCCCCCCCCCCCCGAAAAAATTGTCTTTTTTCTTTTAATTTTCGGTTTTCAAACTCTTTTCAAGTAAGTTTAATCTCCCACCCCAATACACACTTTCAAATTCGATTCAACTTCATTGCTTTTTCAGTGATTTTCGTGAACAAGACAGTGAACATGACTTGATAGCTTATTCTTAATAATAGGGGATTTAATATGAATAAAATATATCGTTTATGATAAAAATTGTGTATTTTAAATAAAATATATTCCGTTTTCCGTTCCGTTCCGTTTTCCGTTCCGCGTTTTAGCAACACCCGAATAAAGCTTTGTGGGGCACAGCCAGAAGTATCTTTGTCATGATCAGTGAACGGTTTAATTCATAGGCAATTCATGGGATATTGAAATGTATACATTATAAGCGAATCTTGCGACGCAAGAATTTTGACAGAAACGGTCCTTTAGCTCGTCAATTAAAATTTATGAGGAGATAATGACTTTTTATGCCACCGAAAGTTGTGTTTCTCATTAGAGAATCACTAAATGTTATGGCTTCTAAAGCTACGGACTGCATTTAATAATTATAAGGATATGTGAACGGGATATCCAACTTAAATGTACGTTCATTTTCCAAAATCGCAACATAAGCTTGTTTTTTTTTTCAAAGCAAGTTTAACTCAAGAATGAAATATAGTTTTTGATACACTTATTATCTTCTTCTTGTTATTTAGATATCTGCTCTCCTTCTGCAACTCATATCATCTACATCTTCCTGAAATTACCGTAACTAATAACAAATCTTGTTGTTTTCTAAAAGGATACGTGTATAGTTGGTAAACTTTACTTTAAATCTCGCTTCGTCTCCTTCAGACGAATAGTTAAAGCTTTGTTGACTTGAAATATGAAAGATCGATTCTGCTCATGAAATATATTTTTTTAAAATTGCCGTTGAAATCTAGTTCTACGGCTTCATGTATGTCTGAGGGAGATTTATAGTAAATTTCTTTGAAATAGATATATAGTTTTTAAAATGTTTATTTTCTATATTCATCTATATATTGATAAAATTTATTAATCGTGGAAACTCATATGTATCTCACAACAGTGTGAACAACAAGTACGTATTAATTTGATTATTTGAAGAAGGAAAATGACAGTTTATTCCAACTGCTATTTCTCTATTTTCCGTCGATGATTTTGTAAGATCTCTTACTCTGCACTTTATTTTCAGTGAAATCTCTTAAAGTTTTGGTTTGTTTGCTCCGATGTTTTTGAGGTCTTTGTTTACTTCTATTTTGTATTGTTTTATGGGCTTTTGAGCCTATAAACTGTTCGTTATTTCAATATATTTCATTTTAAAGGTTCTGGTTAAAGTTAAAAAGTATATTTGAATAGTAAATTTACATGTATATGGTTATCATAAACGTGTTCTATTTAATTTTCAGGCTAACCAATACCAAGTTGAAGTAGAAACTAATAATATTTACCTTCACATTTCATTCCAACCTTTCGATAATTTGCACAGCATTTTGGTTCCCTGTGATTATAAATATGAATTGAAAACATAATTTAAAAAAGGAACACTTACATGTAATTTTCTACTGCCATGTTTTCCAAACAAATCTACTATTAAAATGGAAATATATATGTTCAAAAATATATAAATAACACACCCAAGAACAGTCTTCGAACAGATTCCTTTTTGGTTAGTTGATAATCCTAGATTTAGTACAAATAGCACCTCTATCAGAAGGATTAAGTTAAGTGCACTATCCATAATACAGGTAAGTAAATTCCTTTGTTATATACATTTTATGACTGTTTATGTGGTCATTTATTCCTAAAGTTTTTAGATCGAAAAAGGGGGAAAATTTGCATTCTACCAGGAAAAATAATAGAGGAAGACTATTCATGAATTACTTTAATAAGATTACTTATTATGGAATACTCAAGTGTTGGCGGAAAGATTGAATTTTTTTCTAAAAAAACACTTTTAATTCACTTGCATTCGACAAACATGTAAATAAGAGGGATTTTTAAATTTTTAAAGTCGTTAAATATCTGAAGCACAGTGTACAAGTGAAGAAGATGCTGCGGATATTTGCTAAAATATTTGACTTAGTGAGACAAATTTAGTACAGATCCCCCTTGTCTATAACCAGAAAAAAAAATTGGTCAGTCATGTTTCTGCAATAATGGCCAGTGAATTTATAACTAGCGTTAAAGTGTAATATATCAAACTTATCTGGCGGCTGACTTTAGACGATTACCGCCGACTTACAACTAAATCATATGACGAATGAGATGACATTAGCGTAATAACCCACTATCTACTGTTGACAATGGAAAAGCTGAAGTCATCTCCTTTGTCAAGCAGGTTAGTTGATGAGTAATCTTTTATGAGTCAGTCTAACATCAAGAGATTTTGGTTCCAGTTCACTGGAATTGACCGAGTCGACATATGACATATGATATGTAACTATACTTAATTGATTATAAATCGACAATATATCGGAATGTCGAATTGAAGGCCATAGAAAGTGTTTTCTTTACCCAAGTAGATGTTTTTGTAACTTCTGCTTCATTAGAATATCACACAGGTCAGCTGATATATATATATATATATATATATATATATATATATATATATATATATATATATATATATATATATATATATATATATATATATATATATATATGAGAACACTTTTACCTATCGGAATTCCAACAGTCTTGGAATTCAATGACTTTATAAATGTTTTCAATGAGAAACCTCATCCATAAAATATCAACTTCAGAGACCAAATTTGTAAAATTAGAGTGGTTTTAACGAAGTAATTCTGTTGATGACCAACCGCATGACGTGAAAAAAATTCCGATTTGCGTTTTTTATTGAAAAAAGCAATTGTCCATGATAAAAAATTTAGATTTTAAAATATATCGTGAGAAATTGTAGTTAAGGATATCAGTAAAGGTAAGGGTATAAATGATATATTTACATTTGATTTATAATATTATATAAATTGTAAACATTGAAATGAGATTTGGAACATTTTCTTTCTTGATAAGCGAACAAAGGATCAGATAGGCTAAGATTCCGTTTGGTCCCCTGTTTTGAATCTCTTTGGAATGATGCAATAATTTATAAATAAAAACCTGTTGTCCTCCCTGCTAGAAAAGAGTGTTGGTTCTGAGTTATGGGAGGTCGTAGAAAGGTAAGAAAATAAATCAATTTGCGAATTTTCACATTCTTAGGCCAATTTTTTTTATAGATTTGCTGGTTCATTTTGTTTCAGGAAACGTAGAGCACAAGCTTGCCTATCTACCATGGCCAAATTTATATATTTCATACGCTAGCATCAAATGCATTTTATGTGTAAGAATCTCAGTTGGGAAGCTAGCTCGTGCTTTGTGTTTCTAAAGAGAAATGCATCTCGAATATGACAAATTTCCACCAGAATGAAGGAAGTTAAGGAAAATATCCTACTTATGTAGTATCTTTGACCTCCATGTAAGCTTTAAATCAAAATTAGCACTGGTTTGAAAACAAGCATCATTTTAATTTCTTAACTACTGACTATCACAAGTTTATCAGACTAATTGTTCTGTAAATCAAATAAGGGATCCAAACAGGTCGTTAGCATTCATTTTCTTTTGAATTTAATAAAATAACATTGTAATAGAAATCTGTGAATTCTAAAATATATATGTATTTATGTATATATGTATATTATATACTGAAACTGACATTGCCATGTTTTATGGTATCACATTTTACTGCATGTATTAAAATTAACAAAAAGTCCATTTGGCATTGGGTTTATGTCTTCAGAGCATTGTAAAAAGCTTGCCTCAGAGTTTAAAAAAAAAAGACTGATAAAGCCCGATTCAGTCAATTTAAATATTAAGGATTTCAAGATAATCTGTATATTTTAATGTAGATCTAAGGTTTGCAAGAGTTTTTCCTCCTACAATATAAGTTAAACTATAAAATCTTTATATGCAACAAGTTAGGTGAATGTCAAATGGCACAACACAATGGAATTACATTTATTACTTACACAATGTGTAGTTTTTTTTTCTTATTCTTATTTAAGGGGGGGACCTATGTCGTTCTACGTCAAAGCAGCGTTATGTGACGTCACAATAGCGACGTTTGTTTTTACCTGTTAACTTTTGCAACTGTGATATAGGCATAACGTTGTTATTGATCAATAACGTACCGGTACACAATTTACAAAAAGAAAATTTATTCATCATTAATAACAGTTTTGTTTAATTTATGGAGTTTGTTTATTTTAGAATTATCTTCCTTTGGTTGATAATTCATGGCAATTTCATTTGTGAAAAAATACCTCGATGATATGCTGATATATAAGTGCAAAAAGATTTAAGATAAAATTCAGCCAAGAAAGCGACTTATATCATGAAAATATGTTTAATTTTATGTGAACATTGATTGTATTTTCGCACCAGTATTTTCTTCGTAAAACTACGAAAAAAATTAAGAAATGTACTTAAATCTATATTTGCTAATTGATTTATAGTACATTTAGATTAAATTGTATCAAGTCATTCCTATGTTCTATTAATAGGTGTTGGTTGTTGACTGGGAAATGGGGGGAGGGGGGAGAAACAGATTAATCTGTTTAAATTGTTTCTAATCAAAACAAAATACTCCTTTTTTGCAAAATAGTTTTATATTCACATGTTTGTCAGTGCGTACTTACCTTTTTTTAGTGCAGAAAGGTCAATATTTATGACACATTAGTACGAAAATGAAAGAAAACGTCATATTTCTCGTTTATTTAATCATAAAGGTATACTTTTTTCTTTCTTAAAATACAGAGACGAATCATTTCTTTCAAAAAATATGAATTACAACATTTTCACACAAAGACTTTTTAAGATATTACCTGTTATGCATGTCGGAATTGTAAAAAATGCAAGAAAAACGGGGTGGTGCTTACATTGTGCTCCTTTCAAATTTTTCATGCGAGATGAATTACAATGAATTTGCATTCATTTTAAAGAAACAAGTCATATAAATTTAATACCTGTTGATTTTGAATGTGATTTGACATTTTTGGTTCTTTTTAGCTCATATTTGGAGTAGAACAATAATGTCTAAAAATAATCTATTTTTAGCATTTCACACTGTTTTTCCACGTGCTCCTGTGTAAAAATAAGCATATAAAGGTATTATTTTTGATACCTAAAATTTAAGAGCAAGAGGTCAGGAAAGAAATGTTAAAGTTTTGAGAATTTCATACAAAGACTTTTCGGACATAGGTCCCCCCTTAATGAAATACGAGATATGGAGGTAACGAAGAGTATTCAAGCTCTGAAGTCCATAAAAATTAAACTGTTTTTGTCATCTAAAACAATGTGATGCTGATTGTATTTATATAGAATGGTTTTCAAAAGCATATTTTTTTTCTTCTGAATTTTAGTACAAAAGAATAAATGCACCTAATTTCTTTTTGTTTAAATATATCTGCAAGGACAACCTACTTGTATGAAAATATATACATATCAGGGC